AGCCTGTGACGCAGAGTCCCTGTAAAACAGGAACGGATTCTAAGTGGTTTGTGTGGACCCCCAAAATGCCCCTTCAATTGGCTGGATTGGAATCCCCTAAAATAGGTTTTGTGTGCTTTGGTGTTTTGAGGACCCGTCGCAAAATGTGTCTTTGAATGATTTGGTGTTTTGGTTTTGGTGTTTTGGGGATTGGGTCTCTCGGCGCTTCGGTGTTTTTAGGATCCCCCAAAAGGTGTCGTCTGGTGTTTTGGGGTTTTGGGGAACCCTCCAGAATGGGTCTTTGGGTGTTTCGGTGCACTGTGTCTTTCGGATCCTCCACACGTGTCTTTGGGCCAAAAATGGGTCTTTGGGTGTGAACCCCTCCCTCTCAAAATGAGCCCCCCAAAACGCCCACAAACACTGTTGTTTTTGCAGGGCCCCCGAAGCGAGACACTCAAACACCCATTTTTACAAAAGACAAAACACGCAAATGGCGGTTCTACTTTCAGGCGTGGTGTGAACAATGGGAATCGACCTCCCATCATCCCCCTTCACAGATCTGAACCCTCTGCCATCTTTGGGTCTGACATGGTGGTGGTGGTGGTGGTGGTGGTGGTGGTGGTGGTGGTGGTGGTGGTGGTGGTGGTGGTGGTGGTGGTGGTGGTGGTGGTGGTGGTTGTGGATGCGGTTGCGGCTGCGGCTGCTGCTGCTGCTGTTGGTGTTGCTGTTGTGTTGTTGTTGTTGTTGTTGTTGTTGTTGTTGTTGTTGTTGTTGTTGTTGTTGTTGTTGTTGTTGTTGTTGTTGTTGTTGTTGTTGTTGTTGTTGTTGTTGTTGTTGTTGTTGTTGTTGTTGTTGTTGTTGTTGTTGTTGTTGTTGTTGTTGTTGTTGTTGTTGTTGTTGTTGTTGTTGTTGTTGTTGTTGTTGTTGTTGTTGTTGTTGTTGTTGTTGTTGTTGTTGTTGTTTGTTGTTGTTCTTGTTGTTGTTGTTGTTGTTGTTGTTGTTGTTGTTGTTGTTGTTGTTGTTGTTGTTGTTGTTGTTGTTGTTGTTGTTGTTGTTGTTGTTGTTGTTGTTGTTGTTGTTGTTGTTGTTGTTGTTGTTGTTGTTGTTGTTGTTGTTTGTTGTTGTTGTTGTTGTTGTTGTTGTTGTTGTTGTTGTTGTTGTTGTTGTTGTTGTTGTTGTTGTGGTGTTGTTTGTTGTTGTTGGTGTTGGTGTTGGTGTTGTTGTTGTTGTTGTTGTTGTTGTTGTTGTTGTTGTTGTTGTTGTTGTTGTTGTTGTTGTTGTTGTTGTTGTTGTTGTTGTTGTTGTTGTTGTTGTTGTTGTTGTTGTTGTTGTTGTTGTTGGTGTTGGTGTTTGTTGGTGTTGGTGTCGTTGTTGTTGTTGTTGTTGTTGTTGTTGTTGTTGTTGTTGTTGTTGTTGTTGTTGTTGTTGTTGTTGTTGTTGTTGTTGTTGTTGTTGTTGTTGTTGTTGTTGTTGTTGTTGTTGTTGTTGTTGTTGTTGTTGTTGTTGTTGTTGGTGTTGGTGTTGTTGTTGTTGTTGTTGTCGTCGTCGTCGTCGTCGTCGTCGTCGTCGTCGTTGCTGTTATTGTTGCTGTTGCTGTTGCTGTTGCTGTTGTTGCTGCTGCTGCTGTTGCTGTTGCTGTTGGTGGTGGTGTTTTTGTTTGTGGGTGGTGGTGGTTTGTCTGCTTGGGTGCTGGGATGCTGCAATTCGGAAGGAGGCCGCAACTGTTCCGCGCCGGGCTTGTTTTTGGCTTACCAGGCATTTTGATAATTGGGGGGGGGTTGCTGCCTGCCCGAGGACAAACACGACCCCAGGCGTTTTGGGGTTGGGGGGGGCATTGGCACATCAGTATAAGACAGTGGATGGAAGGCTTACAGCAATAGTTGAAATGAGGGAAATTCATCTGACAGTAGCTTCAGCAAGCGCAAAAAAACCACAACCAGCAGCGGCGCTGAAAGCCACAAGACATGATCTGCTTGCTCAAGGGATGATCAGCAACCCAGTTCGCAACCGACGGCACCACGACATAACCAACCAATCGACATCCTCAAGCAATTAGCTCTTTTGAGCTCGTCTACAAGACTGTGCCACTTGCGATATCAACTTCATCGCCTACAACAATACATTTCTGAAGCGAGTGAGTCGATAGTTTCACTAGAACACATCAGTCCCTGTTCTTCAATCCAGTGCATCTCCACAACTCATGAAATGCGAGATCTCTACTCTTGCTGCTGTTTGCCGTGCGCGAATAAGAATGCAGTTGCGCTCAGTTTGTACAAACTATGTAGATAACAAAACGAAACCAACATGTCCGGCAAGTGAGAGTGGCTATTTTGATGTGATCGAAATCCACCTAAACCATTTTCCCAGTGGCTAGTGCAATAAATCATGTGGCTACAGTATAGAACCTTGAGATCATAATTAGATGCAAAAAGTCCAAAGGAAATTGTGTCTGTGTCTTCTGTGTTTTTGCAGACCAGTGACCTTCTGGCAATCGCTTTTCACACATGTGCCATTGTGGCCCAAGGCCCTTCTCTTTTGTAGTATTGCACTCATTGCACTCGCCAGAGAAAAGGGAGCTCGCGTGTACCAATACCAACAATACACATACCAGGGACTTCGAGTACAATTGATCCGTCAGACATCAGGTTCTTGCCTGAAACAGGTCCAGAGCCACAGAGATTGCTACCACAGTCGGTATCTGCTTCGGGATTAGGGGGGTTGTTACTACATACATGCGTATATATATATAGGTATAATATATATATATATATATATATATATATATGGGTACCCATATATACCATCCTTATTCAACCAGGAAGTAGAACCACATAAAAACGGCTGGGGGTTTGGGGTGCTTCCCAAATGAGTTGTGTCAAGTCACGTCTGCGTCCATGTTTGAAGTCTTGCTGCACTTCATGTCCATGTGCCCTCAAAAAAGAAGCCTGCACACACGCCGAGCAGCTTGTCAGTGCTAATCACCTTGTAAATTCGAGAAACCCCCTGCGAAGTCATGTGGGTCGCAGGTCATTCCAACACTCAGGGCTTGCGAAGTCTGCAATCCCTGCAACAAAAATGCGGACTAACTACATACCCTGCGGCTTTCAGGCACGAGCCCAAAAAATGGGGTCATAAGAAGGGTCGTAACCTTGCTTTTTTCAATATTTGCCTGGGGGTGGTTCTAAGCCAAATCCCCAACGAGACGAACCCGCGAGCATCCAGGCCTACACTGGTAGTGCCGACTAGCAAGGAATCATCTGCGTCGTCCATGCGCTGGGGCTTTGGGCAATCTGCCTCCTCGTCCATGCACTCAGGTCCAAATATCGGACCACTTGCGACTAGCGACCGCCAACGCGGCCAGTGCGGCTGGTTCAAGCGAACCGAAAGAAAGTGTCGTGGTCTTTGAAGTGGGCTGGTCATGGTCAACGTTTAATCCTACACCTACGTACGCCTAGGATTTGCATCTTTCTTTGTTCATCATTTTAGTCAAGCGCGATGACGTAAAAAAGTCCCACATGATGGCCCAGTGACATATAAAAACGGCGGCGGAGGGTTTACTCATTCGGCGCGCGCAAGGCAGAGATGGGCCAGGCGGAGGACCGGACGCAACTGTCTGGTCTTTCGCTTTCAAAGGATCCAATTTTGGCCCTGTTTGATCCTTCGCTTTTGAAAGGGTCAGAAAAGGGTCCAAAACGGAACAAGCCTTGTTTCAGAGCCGAAAAGCAGTGCCAAAGCGTTACGAGATCCCTATGCTCAAAAGCCAAGCTCGAAGCAATAGGATCCCCCACCCGCCCCCCTTCCCTGACCTCCTCCGGCCTTCCGTGTAAGGCCGGGTCTTATTCCGAAACCGAAGGTCAGCGGAGCGTTTAGCACTGACTGACCACCCCACAGCCTGTGGCTCAAAACTGTCCACGCCAAAATCCACATCGCAAAAAACCTGGGCTAAGACTTAGGTTCTTCCTGCTCGACACTGAACCAGGGAACACTTGCACATGGCCTCGGTGGCTCCCTCCGTCGCTCGGATCCCCTGGCCTGCTCTGCGATGGGCCGACTCCAGCCAACGAGCGGTTTATCCTTGCGGGAAAGGGACTGCCAGAGCCTCTTTTGAGGTGGCGACGCCAGCCAAATAGGCGTTGTTGCTGCACTGATACGCCCAGCCCAATTCGAAGGGAAGTCGAGACTCACAAGCTCAAGGTAAGTGATGTGCCTCTGCTGACTGGGATGTTCCTCTCAAAATCAAAGGACATACAACCACACATGTGTGCTGATTTTCCATGTGCCCGCAGATCGTGCGAGCCTTGAATGCCATTCCGACATTCCCTTTGAAACGTTACTCACAACGTACACAACATCTCCAGTGAGGGGCTAACTTTGATGGATGTTGATTGTACCCCTCTTTGGCGGTGACTCAAAGAAAACCCAGAGGAAACCAAAACTGAACTTGTTCCGAAGCCCATCCGCATCCAAACCTACACAAGCTAGGGTGTTTTCGGGCGGCACTTTCTCCAGTAAGGAAAATCGAAGGGAAATTCAAGGGAACCCAAGGGAAACCAAACGACTTGAACCGGGGAGGGGGTGATGGGGATGTCGTTTTAGTGATGCCCCTCCGGGAAGCGAGGCATCGCTACCAAAACCCGCTGTATGACACACCTCCCCGAGTACACAAGCCAAGAGGGAATACGTCTTTTGACAAACACCAAACAAGGAAACCAAAGCCGCTTGCTTAAGCCAAGAAGGAATCCAAAACAACTACTCAAAGGAAGGCGTTGGGAAAACCAGCCATTTTTGGAGGTACCCCTATTTTGACACAAACTGGGCAGTTCAAAATGGAGTGCACTCCCAATCCATGATCCCTATGAGAACAACCACAAAGGGGAAGCCCTCCGCAACCAAGCCCAGATAGGAGTATTATACGTACTAGTAGAGGTCAGCATCTATGGTCCTTGGTTTAAAAGGGTGTTTTTTTGGTTGACACAGAAGCATGGAATGACGGGTCTTGTTTTGCAGGGTCTTGTTGGGGTACTACTGTGGATGGTTGAAACCATTGTTGGTTGGTATTTACAAGGGAATCGAACCGTTCATGGAGGATTTTGTCCATTCACAGTACCGTTTCACGTGCAAAAACCCGGGCGCGACAGCCTCGGGCTCGAAGTAGGCGGCAATGCCCACTAGGAGATTCTCCATCCTGCGCGGGCTTCTTTGGAGCTCGGCAGGCTGAAAAAAAAGGACACCCAAAGGAAACTCACCCACTTTTTTGTGGCATTTGGTTCTGTGTTTAGGGACCTTGTAGGTTGGTTTGATTACGGGAAACCGAATGGACACCGGTTCCATTTTAAGGGTTCCATTTTCAAGCTGAACAGCCAGTTGATCAAAGGGGTCCCTGGTCAAGAATGGTTGGTTTACTGTTGCTTTTTAGGACCTTTCTGGGCTGGTTGGCCTTAAATAAGGCCCTCAAGGATGGGTTGGCAGGTTTGAGTTGACTGGTTTGGATTGACTGGTTTGGAAACCCACTTTCCATTGCCTATTGCTGACCCTTCAGGGGTCCCTTTGCCCATGACGTGAGTCTACGGCTGAAAGGGAGAGAAAGGGCCCCATTAAACACTTTAGGCAAGGGGCACCATTGCAACCCAACCCTTTAGGCCCCCTTGATAAATCAAATCCTCCAATGGAGAACTCATACTACACCTCCGGGACGCCGACAAATATCATGTTTGAGGGCTGCAAACCATTTCCGAGGAGGATCGGAAAAAAAAAAAAAAACTCGACAGTATTGATCTGCCGGAGTCAACATTACCCCGAAAAGATAGAAACATGACCGTACATACCCCAAGAGATTCCCCCAGCACCCTGACCAGCACCCGGACTGCATTGCCAAACAAGCACTACCAGCATCTGCCACCGCTTGATCCTTGACTGTTGCGCCAACCAAGCGCGACCAGCAATCACCACCGCACCTTGAGGACACCAAACAGCACCCTGACCAGCACCCTGACCAGCACCCTGACCATCACCCAGACTAGCGCCCAGACAAAACCTGAAGCACCAGCCCCTTTTCAGAAGTAAGAACCCCTTACAGCCCTCTGCTATCTGACACCACGCCTCAAGGGACAGAAGGCCTACTTATGCAGCGACCACGGGGTATATATGTATATATATATATATATATATTACCTTGTTTGTTGGATGCTCTCGGTGGATTTGTCAAACAAAACAAAACGCACAACTCACTTCCTCAGTGGCCAAACACAAACACATGTTTTTTGTCCATAACCTCGTGAAGAGAGACAAACAAGCAATCACCATTGCCCTACGGTGCTGGCCATCTGCTCGAACAGAGAAGGATCCAAGGGCTTTCTGAATGTCTGAGACAATGGAGAGTTGGAGCGGATCAGCGCTATCCGTCGTTCCATTTACGCGTACGTGGCTTCGTCTCTTTTCCATCCCGGATCCCAGCGCCAAAGGCAAAGCGGTTCACCAACCAAATCCTTCCGCAAGACGCTTTCCAGATTCAGAAGTTGTCTTTCATAAAGGGCATGACAGGAGAAATTGAGTGATTCCCCCTTGCTTCTGGGTTGACTTTTTTGTGAGTCACACATGCTTTCGCCAAATGGACCGTGGACCGGACATTTTGACCAAACCTCATGCCCGCGCTGAACAACAATCCCCTGAAACAGGATGCAGTCCTGCGCAGGAATTCCCCAACGACGCAAGCTACAGTACCACAAAGGGGACCAATACTTGACGCAAATCAACCAAGATGCTTAAGAAAATAAACATCGCACAAACATACTTGCCCTTGGAGCAACAGCACAAGGCATTGGAACAATCACACGTACGGTGAAAATATGCCAAGTTGAAGCAACGCAGCTTGCCAGTACATTCTCATCTGCCGAGCCTATCCACTTTGTTCTTGGTCTGCGAGGTGAGGTAATGTAGCTCCTAAGCAGTCAGGCCCGTGCGATGAACATGCACAACTTGCCGGGACACTTACCCCAAATCCCTCGGCCCACCCCCATGGCACACCGCTTACCCCACGACACCAAGAACTCAACCCACTTACAAAACTGCATGGCGCACCGCGTCAACAATGCGTGTTCATGCTGCGGCTGCCACACTCCAATTCACCAACGCACAATATGCTGCAATGTTACGAGGTTCGTCGTGCGTAGCCACACCTATGTGTTTGTTTATAAGACATACTCTTTCCAAAACCAACTGCAAACCAATGCGCCAGCCGATTCAACAAAATAAGTCCAGGTGGACCCCCAACAGCCTCGTGGCTAAGTTGGCGCCTATGCGTTTTCACTTTGCTCGTCTGAGCTAGGTTTTGAGCTTGAAACATGTTGGAGAAACGCATGCCGCACTGCTAGTCCAACATGCGCTGCAATGCTACTACACTATTTGGACTATTTGCTCATAGCCACCCCTATGCGTTTATAAGCAAGTATCATCTAAAAGCAGCCCCATGGCACGCCGTGTTTGACAAGCGCTTCAAAAAGGAGCCCTGCGCAAGCCGCGAACTTTTTTCTTGCCACTATTTCTTTTGTGTTCTCTCTTGTGCGTATTCTTTCTGCTTTCTCCTTTCCTCTTTCTTCTTTTTCTATGTTGGTTCTGTATGATTTTGTCCTTTCTTATATTTCTTTGCGCCGCAGCCACTGAGCTACGAGTCAGATTCCGACCTCATGACAACCTCCGAAGGCGAGCCCACAGAACGGGCGAGCTCAGAAGGGGCGGGCAAGCCGCAACAAAGCCACGGGCCAAACTGCAGCGCCCAAAGCAGCACGAGCTGCAGAGCCAGAAGGATCTAAGATGCAAGCTGCTGCAGCAGCACAAACAACAGTTTCTTCTTCTTCTTGCTTCGAATCATCCGGTTCCCCCATGGCACGCTACACCCTTGGCTTTGAGTGGGGTGGGGGCCGGGGTAGCACGCGTCAGTAACATCTAAGCCTGTGACCTCCACTAAGTTGACGTGACCTTCTCGACCAAAAGCAGTGCCCCACTGCGTGTTGTGACGGGAATGGCCCTTAACCTTCATCAGCGCCCCTTCGCCAAACACAAACACCTCAAAGTATCTGGCCATGGGTCAAAACCAATGACATCCCATCTTGGGGTAGGTGATTTTAGAACCTATTTTAGTGGTTGGATTGGGATGTTCACTGGGGTTTTTTGGATTTTGACCCATGGCCATCCGAGTTTAGCACCCCACAGCCGTCAACCACAAGCCACGGCGCCATGATGGAGATGGGCCGCAGGCCCTCGGCGAGGTGCACCACGCTGCTGCCTCGAGTCCGGCAAGTGCCACTGTTAAAACTCCTTGGAGTCTACTGTGGATGGACGAAATCCTGCACCACTTTGAAACCATAGCAAACCAGCGTTTGTTGGGACTTACAGGGGAAGCATCACCCCAGGGATTTTTAGGTGGTGCAGGATTTCGTCCATCCATACTGTGGATGGACGAAATCCTCTTAGGCACCACCCAAGAACCCAACGGAATGATTTGATTCCCTTGGAAATACCTACAAACAATGTGTTCTTTTCGTGCCTTCAAAGTGGTGCAAGATGGACTTCGTCCATCCACGGTATGGCCTATGGTTCCCTCAGGAATGATTGCCATAGAAAGGAACCGGTCCTTTGATCATGGCACCGGGGCTAGATACCTCACCATCGGCTTGGGGTATGTTCATTTGGGGTAGCAATGGAAATCCTCTCCAGATTGAAACGGCATAAACAGTGTCGGATCGTTCCGGATGAATGACACCCTGGGAGGTTAGCCGCTCACTTGGTGAGATACATGGCCAGTTGCCTAGTGGGAAGTGGGATCCCTCCTGCAGTCGAGTGGTTCTTGGAAGGGTAAGGACCGGTGAGAAACTTTCTGGGCGTGGGGTTGCTAATGTCACTCCTTGGTTAGGGGACGCAAATGGCTATGAACTTCCATCGTGGATTTTGTCTTTTGTTTCGGGGGGCCTCATTTGCATGGGTTGTTGTGTCAACCAAACATTGGGGACAGAGAAGAGCATGAGCCATGGTGAGCATCTAGGGGTGCAGCGCTTCTATGAACTTAGCATGATAAGGACGTGCCAGGAAAACAGGAAGGATCCAAGCCCCTGCCAGCTTCATTTGAATCAGAGTACTCCATGGAGTTCCTCTTCCTTGCTCCCGTATCTAAACGAACTGCCCAGGCTGACTAAGGGCTCTTTGTTTTACACCAAGGTGACAAGGCCAGAACTAAAAAAGCCTTCACAGCCCGCAAGTGAATTCTGCCATCGGCCCTTATCCAAGATCTGGACAGTCGAGTCCTCCACTCAGAACCATCCAACAGGAAGCCCGAAGGCCAAACAAAGCAAAGGCCGCGCGGAGATCGGCTACACTTTGGGATCTGGCAGAACTCTTTCTTGTCGATGGATCCGCTGCCATCCTGGGACCCGATTCACGTGAAGGGAGCAGCGTCTCACGAAGGCAAATCTGGTGATGGCAAAGAAGCAAGGATTACATGATGGCAGTCACCAAGTCGCGCTTCTAAACAAAATCATGGCAGAAATGTGTATACACATATACATACATATATATATATATATATATATGTTGTATTCTGGGCCTGTAGTACAGAAGCAATGGTTGGTACCCAAGTACGTCTACTATGTTTCTCAGTACAGTATGTCGTCTTTTGTCTATCGATGGTAGAGCGCCAGACGACAAATTGCAATGTGTAGCATGTCTCGTAGCACGATTGTGAACGCTGCCGCAACAGACACTCTGCCCCTCATCCTCCTTTCTGGGAAAGACTATGGTTGTCGAACAAGGGGACACGGTTCCCGTTCTCGCAGAAAGGCAAGCCCAGAGGCCCGCCAAGACCCTCAAAGCCTTTCTTCCCACACTGGACACTACTTGGGTGTGTCTCAAAAGCAGGCGACCTCGAATGGGTGGGTTTCTCCTCAAAAAGCCAAGCAAGAACTCCATGTCCACTTCTGAGCAGCTTTGGAAAATCAACATGTGGGTATGGATCAAAATCAAACCAGCAGGAGACCGCAAGCTTTAGTTCATGTTTCCATTAGCAGGGTTTGATTTCGGGTCTTCTCCAGGACCACTTTCGGGTCCTGTGAGACTGTCAGACCGACACAACAAAAGCCGAACAACTGAAAGCGTAACCATCATGACTGGTGACTGAGTTGTTCCCCAAAAGAGGAAGCGGTCAACGGAAACCTCTAGGACGGTAGGGCCCGCTGCATTCACGTAAATATAGCCTCGCAAAAAGTTGGTCCGACGAAAAATGGCAAACCAATCATTAATCTTTGAAGGAAAAGAAAGGGACCAAACATGGGTGTGTCTTGTTGGTGGTACCACTTTTGGGGTTGCTGTAAAGGGAAACCAAATGGACACCCATTTTGCGGGTTCCTGTGTTTTGAGACAAACCCATGTCGCATAGTGATCCAAAGAGTGGACATGCGGACACACTTGCCACTGGCCACACCTGTCATCCATGATCAAAGCTGCTGATGCAGGTCATGGTCAGGGTGCACTAATAGGACACTCTACAATGATTAGTCCCTGTGGATGGACAAATCCGTTCGCATCAGTCTGAAACCATGGTTGAAACCATTCATTGTTCGCTATTTGTAGGGGAGTCGAATCCTTCCAGGGTCTCTGGACAGTGCGAAATGGATTTCGTCCACATGGACTTTTCGGGGGTCTGACAATGGCACGGAACACAGACTCCGAGCCCAGCCGAGGAGCTGTGTCCATGCAGTTTACCTCGAGTCGCAGGTCTGCGCTTGGAGTAGGTGGATTCAACAATGAAACTGGGACCGCCCATGCGGGAGCCTAAGTTCCGGGTCCCAAGCTAGGACTAGCTCTCTGCCCTTCAATCTGAGCGTCAAAACTAGTCCGGACTGGCTGAAGGTATTCCATCGCCCCTGGCAAAAGCGGGTAAAAGCCTTTGAATAAACGTTGCATGGCCATGCTGGAGCCTGGCCACAAGGCTACAAGGGCAGATTTTTCCGTACGCATCCCCGTTGCGTCTTTGTAAGAAACAAGTTGCGCACAGTTGAAATCCAATTAGATGGAAACCACATGTAGCGTGCTCTGAAAGTTGGCCTCAAACACTTTTTCAGCGTGGAGACCTTTACGACCTTTGCGTTAGGAAAGAGCCAGTATCCTTGTGAGGTGCGACCTCTGCCATCGCGCCTTACAAAAACAGTGGGGAAAAACCTCTTGGCGGGTGATGCTTGTAGTGCTGGAGATATGCTAGTGCGGAACCCTGCGTCATGGATAAATGCTGAGCGCCAGGTGGCAAGAAGACGAGCCAACATGTTCTAGCGTTGTCTTATTGTCAAGGGGGCCAATGAGACTGGCAAGTCGACAAATCAAAGAAGACTGCTCTCAGAACTCTAGGGGCTGGTTCCCCATTCTTTTCAACCGTCCTTCTTTCCCGGGTTTCCAAAGGATTTCTAGAAAGAAGGATCCCTGGAAAGCATGGGGAACGTACCCCTAGAAGAACTGCACATCACACTGGAACAAACGGGAAGCAAGGCTCTAGATTCATATCTTGAAACACCATTGACACCATCGACCTCTTGTGACAACCACCTTCTGGCTCCCCTTGCGTAGGCTGGTGCAGCCTTCCCGCTGGTTGCGGCTTGAAATTCACCAAACGTTCCTGACATTGGACAGGATCGGGCGGCGGCATCGTTTGATGGTCCCGATATATCGGTTTCAGGCGAGCTTCGATCATGAGGTGGTTGTTTGTTTTTTGGGCAAACAAATGTTTGTTGTATGTTTTTTGGGGGAGCTTAGTTTGTTTTTTGTTTGTGTTTTGGGTTGTTTGTTCTTGCTGGGCATGCAAATTTGTCATTTCGGTCTGTGTGCTCGCCTCGGGCCGTTCCAAGGGTCCATTGGACTGGCAGACAGCGATCTCCGATTGGTTTGAACCCCTCAGATCAATCAAGCCAGGGAACCGAGTTACGAGTTTTTCGTTTTTTTTGCTGGAGTCTCCCCAACTTCCTGCGTCTGGCAAACCTCGTAGAAGGAAACGATGCCAACTTACCAGCATCTGTAATGTTCACCCCGGAATTACAAAACAACGAACTCGACTTGAAATGCGAAACACCCCTATTGATCTACCGGAAACACTGGGTTCCCATGGTCACGTTGCTGTGTTCACCAAATCCTCTCGGGCAAAGGTGACGCCCTCCGTCACAAACAGCTCATCCAAGGAAGGCAGGATCTGCATGATCTCTTCGATGGATGCATGCCCTCGCGGAGTGTTACGTTAAAGCTGGCCAGCTTTTCGAATACCAAGGGTCATGCCAAACTTAAGGCGACGGCCTGCTGAAGCCGAGCTACAAACCGCCTGTGATGGGTGTTCGACTGGTGGTTAGTTCTACCAGGTCTGAAAGCAGGATACATTTGGTCTAGACCGTTTCATCCTTTCCGGGATTCTTCAGGAAAAACGTTCATAGAGCCCTGCACAGTCCTGCTTGACTTCTATGTCAATGAACGACTCGGAAATGAGCCCAAGACAAAGACCATTTGGGGGGCAGCCTTTAAAATGATGGCAACAAACAGCTATGTGTGTGTGTGTGTGGGTGTGTATGTCTGTGTGTGTGTGTGGGTGTATGTCTGTGTGTGTGTGTGGGTGTATGTCTGTGTGTGTGTGGTGTGCGTGTGCGTGTGAGTGTGCGTGTGCGTGTGCGTGGAATGCAGGGATTCCCACTGAAGGGAACCTCCCTTTTGGATGGTCATGATGTGTGTGTGTGTGTGTGGGCGTGTTTGTGTCTGTGTTTATTTGTGTGTTTGATTGCTGCTTGCTTGTTTGTTTGTCTGTGTTTGCTTTTGGGTTTGTCTGTGTTTGTTTGTTTGCTTGTTTGTGTGTGTGTGTGTGCTTGTGTCTCTGTGAGTGTGTGTGTGTGTGTGTGTCTGTGTGTGGGGTGTGTTCGCGTGTTTGCGCGTTGGTGTTTTTGGCCCAACAAATTTGAGACACACACCCATCCAGGGGAACCCATTTAGTACGCCAAGTTGGGTGTTTTTTGATGGTACCCCTCGTTTGTACTTTGTACTTTAAAGGAGAACCAAGAAGAACAAAAACGACGCGCTTTATAAGGCAACTTTACAACAACACACCCCACCATGAAATCCGCTGGAGGTGACCAAGAAAAATCCAGTGGAGTCCTTGGCTGCTTGCGATGGAGTCAAAGATCTGCTCGCAGTTCTTGATTATCCTGAAAGGTGGGGGATGTGCCCGGGGCTGAAACCCCGAAAGAAACCTGGCGTGGCTTGCCTCTGAAACAAGCCCAAAAAAAGGTGGTCCACCCACAAAACACGCGCGCCAAGAGCGTTGTGAAACAACCACCAGGCAGGAAGACCCAACAGCGACAACCATGACAATGATATTGTTGGTTCCAGCAAGCGGTCAGTTGCAAGCTTGGAAACTAAAACATGTTTAAACAAGAGCTTGGCCCTGGCTAAAACATCCCCTTGGCTCGTTTGGTCGTTGGGTTGCAGCTCCCTTTCCCTGCTCCCTTGCTCGTCCCTTCCAGCTTGTGGGCAAAAGGTTGCCCTCATGCAGAAACCGGCAAAGAAACGACCAACCAACCAAACAAACAGCACCGGCAGAAGCCGAAGAGGCCAACAAGAACATAACCAACACCACTCGTTGCCAAGATGAGGCGATGAGGCGATTTGAACCCCGTCCTCTGGCGCTTTTCCTCCGCTTCAGCCCGCTCCTGCTCGATCTTGGCGTCGTTCTTGTCGAACATGCTCTCCTCGTGCAAAGGTTTGTCAGCCTTTCAAAACGGCTTGGACCCGCTGAGGGGTTTAAGGAAGCCAAACATAGACTCCTAATTTGAGAACCCGGGTGTGTTGACTTTCCTTGGCTTTGAACACACAGGGACCTCTGCAACGGATTTCTACACTTTGCGGCACGTTTTGTTTCGCACGTCGCACGGCGACGCTCGTCCAGCGCCGAGACAAGTGGGGGCTGAAGGACTTGGAAAAGCCTTGGGGAAGTTTAGATGATCCCCGCCTTAAAACTTGCCTCAAGTAACGGCAGAAACAAGGGGCCAAATGCATTTTGTTTTGCGGTTTGCCAGCTAGCGGGGAGAAACAATTGACTTCCAAAAAGGAAGAGGCAGAAAGGTCAAATCAAAGGGCGGCCAAAGCAAATGTCAGCTCCTGCAGGCTGATTAACCAAAACATGTGATGAACATCCCTCAAACTGCTAGTCCGCGCTACCTGGGAAAGATCGCTCATTCACCAACTCCAGTCGGGTCGCTGAAATGTTGTGCCCTCAGGGCTCTGAAAAGGAAGAGCATTTAACCACAGTTGGGGTGAGTGATCGCAGTTAGTTTATTTTGAAGACTTGCCATGAGGTTGTGGGTTAAATGGCTGAACACTACAAAGGGAAAGAGGGCCTTTGCGAGGATGCTAACGCTCAAGCGCATTGGGTTAGGAGAAAGCCCGGAACCGACCTGGTTGCTGTGGCAGCTGGGTCGGGTGCAGCAATGAGAAAGGTTGGCAGTGACTTGGTCTGCCTCACACATCCACTGCAACCACTATGCCAGGGAAAACAATCAACACATAGTTGTCACCTTTCGTTCTTGCATGATAGATGTATCCGCTTACGTACATATCATAGTGACAACCGAAAGTGCTGGGCATTTATGGACTCTGGAGGGACTCCTTTTGGCAAAAACCAAGGAGCCCCTGAGTTGTTCCATAAGCCTCCCCCCCCCAAAGTACATCAGAAAGTGACGGTGCTCACCGAGGTCTTTGAAGATGGAGTTTGGTGATGCTTGTCATGCTCAGAGCTGCTGCGGGTTCTGGCCCCCGCACTGGCAACCCGATTGATGGCCGCCTGAAATCCGTAACAAAGGTTGATCATCCTTCCTGTTCACTCGCAGCAAGCTGCTCATGTGGCATTGCTGCCTCAGACGGATTCATCCATTGGTGGTTCGTGTGGTTGAGGGTCAAGCAGTACACAACTTGCAGCATCTCGAGCACCATGTGCTTCTTCATGCTTCAAGCATGATCGCCTTGCGTTTGTTGACACAAACACGCATAACATGGTCAACTGGTTCTGGCAAAGGCTTTTGGCGCTGCCAACGTAAGCCATCCTTATGAGCAATTTTTCAGGGGTGCAGGTCCTTCAAACCCGTTCTCCAATGAGAAACACTGGCAATTGAACTTTGCAGACTGCCGACTGTAGCAGGCAGTGTCTTCCTTTAGGGAGACCTCCAAAATGGATTTCCGCTTTCCTTTTGGTTTCCCTTTTAAACCCAGCAGAAACGGGTACCAACTCAAATGAAAGACCCAGCCTTCCAAGCATTCGCCTGGGTTCCCGGGCGCACACCAGGCCGGTCAGCAGCCCCACAATCCCAAAGCTCACCTTGATCGGTCGACAGACCATCCCTTCACGGGGGCCGTGTGGATGGGCGACGTTCCAAGTGGCCAGCCAAAATGGCTGTGGGTCAAAACCCTGTACCCCTGGTAAACATAAACATAGGTGGCAAATAGATGTTCCTCCACTCCAAAATGGAGCCAGAGGTTCTGCCCCATGGCAAAATGAGGTTTCCATTTAGTTTGGTTTCCCCATACAACCCAAGTGGACTTCCCAAAGACAGTGCCACATAGGCGCCTGGGAAAGTCGAGGAGTTGTGCATTTTTGTTGGCTTCCTGGGAAACTAAACCTTCTCGGCTTATGGCTTATGGTCATGATTCCCTTAATCGGAATCATTGAATTGGGATCTGGATGACCCTCCCTGTTAACCCCGTAAAGGAACCGGTCTTTTGACCATGGCAGTCGGTGAGTCGGCTACACTGGTGGTTTGAAGGCTGGCCCGCCTCACGAGCAACGTTTGCGGTGTGAGGGGGAAGGATCCCTTGATTGCCCCCCGCCCAACAAACAAGAACAACAAGAAAGTCTCACCCGGGAGGAAAACTCACTTCAAAAACTTTTTGTTTTAACCAAGGGACGTGTCCGGGGGTCTGGAAATGCTTCCAAAACCTGATCCGTGGTTGCTCTTTTGGCACTCGTTGGCTGAAAATGCTCGAAGCATCCGAAGGATGGCTCCATCTCAGCCACACATACACACACACACACACCGTTGTGGAAGGCCAAGGGACGAATACCACGAAGCAAATGAGGAAGGCTGCGAGAATGCCGTCGATTTCCAGGACTTCCCTGACAAAAGGGTTGTCTCTTGGAACCTTGGAGATATCTGTTCAAGATGGTTGGTGTGGTGTGGTTTTGTTCAGTTTGGTTTGGGTTGGAAGATGGTCTGGCTTGACAGTGGTGATGGTGCGAATGGCTCAGCGGGGATGATTTGAAGGTTGGTGCGGATGGCTTGGATGGTTTGAGTGGCGTGGGCGGTGTGTATGGTTTGGGAGGTTTGGGTGGCTGGACAGTGTGGATGCGGTGGATGCTTCGGCTGGTAAGGATTGAACGGTTTGGTTGAGTGGATAAAGTGGAGAGCCTACAGCCTTTAGATGCTGGTCGTTGCAAGCTCCTGATGCACAAAGGCCCCAACCAATGTTTCCAACAGCCTTTTCGAGCAACCAAATTCCCATCACAATGTGCTTGGGACAACAAGGCGGACCCATAAGGACACGACTGTGCCTGCCGTTTCGGCCCCCAGCGCGGTCCAACTGATGTTTTCCTCACAGAGGGTCGGAACCCTTTTCCCATGCCACTCCTAGATTACAAAACGGAACCCCAGCCCCAGCCATCCCTGTGACAAACCGATGAAAGTGGTAAACGCAGCTGCTTGGCAAACCTTTTGTTGCGTCAGGATGGGCAAGAAAAGGGCCAAGCCGTCCTGTTTCCAAGGCACATCTGGATAGATCACGGCGTCCTACCCATCCTGTTCTTCAGGCAAATCAGGACGGGCAAGAAATCACAGTTCGTCCAACCCGTCCTGTTTAGCCCTGTGTCCCGGGCAAATCAGGACGGGAAAAATTCACGGCTCGTCCAACCAGTCCTGTTTCCTGGGTTGAATCAGGACGGTTAAGCCGTCCTTTCCCGCGCAAGTCAGGACAGGCAAGAATCACAGCTCTTCCAACTCGTCCTATTTCAGGACGGGGAAAAATCACAGCTCGTCCAATCCGTCCTGTTCCCCCGGTCAAATCAGGACCGGTAAGAAATCGCACTTTCCCCGGGCAAATCTGGCGAGAATCACAGCTCTTCCCTGTTTTCCGGGCAAACCAGGACGCGCAAAAACAACAACTGCCTGTTTCCCAGGACAGGAAAAATCACAGCTCGCCCCCGTCCTGTTTTCTGGGCAGATCAGCACGGGAAAAAAATCACAGATCATCCAACCCGTTGCTTTCCATTTCGGGCCAAGGCTGCAAGACGATCGAGCTTGGTTGATCTTGCTAAGTAGTCATACGCTTGTCTCGCTATCCTGGACCAGTCGCTGCGCGACAGGTGCCAGCTCCGCGCGGAAGACGGCAAGAGCCAAGATCGGTCCAGCCCCAGTCCCGGACCGCTGTTTCCTGGCAATGTGGTACACAGTTTTTGGTCTAAGAGCTCAGCCAGTCCAGCCAACAGCCCCAGACCAGCCCCCAGCCCTGTCCGCCCAGCCAAGCCCGTCTAGCTCGGCCCGCGCAGCCCAGCCTACCAACCTACTGTAGGCCAAGTCAGTCCATTGAAGCCGTGCAGCGTGAAGAACTTCATTGAGGTTTCCACTATCGCCAGCCCAGCCAGGGCTGCAGCCGGCAGCAGGGCGCAGACATGATTGCCCAACATGTTGCATCACAGAAGTTGTTTCCGCAACCTTGTGTTGTCGTCATTATTGTTGTCGCTGTGGTTCGTGGTGGCAAAGGACCAAGGAAGGCGCAGCACAAACGCGTCGCCTGGCTCCATGACTCTCTTTGAATCACCGCTTGACTAGCTCTGTTGCTTGCTTTCGAGCCACACATGCTGCATGCTGGGCTGGGCCGAGGCCGAGGTGGGCAACGCAAAGCGTTTACAATTGAGCACACCTGATGTTCTCTTCCTCTTCCTCTTCCTGCGCTGACCTTCGCACACCGGAAAACACAAGTGAGCCCACCAAAACGGGGTTTCGTTGCCCTCACGCGCTATTCTTGAAGCCAAGGAGGCACGAACCCCCGCACCGACCGCTGCCCGCGTCCCACACCCCGCGGCCCGGCCAGTATGGCATGAGGTCGGGCTCTGAGAGAAGGCAAAACAGCGAGAGCATACACTTCCGCAGCGATCCGAAGTGCAGGTCCAGGAAATCCTCGCCAGCGGGGGGATCCCAACATTCTTCACACACCACACTTTACTTCTTTGATTTCGCTCAAAGAGCCGTGCGCAACGCGATCGACGGGGGCATGATTCTCTTTAACTCCAGGTGGGGAGGTATTGAAGTGCCCTTTTCAATTGCTGATTGCTCGCTAGGGGGGGGAACTTGTTGAAACGTTGGCTGTCTCTCAGCCCTTCTATGACAAGTGCAGTAAATAGAGTTCACTGCGTTAGTAGTCACAGCTCGAAGTCAACAGTGTTCAGTACCAGCATAATACACACGGCACACTTCGGCAGCTCCAGCTCGAACACATCCCAAGTGTTCAGCCATTGAGATGGGGACAATCGGGGATGCGAGAAAGGGCTTGCGAACTGCAAATCCTGAGGATCAAACACAATCACAGTTGTGGTTTAGTGCTCGATTTTTTCTCACCTATCAAGCCTGATCTTTCTACGCTTGACGCGTTGTTTTACTGACAGACACGGCTGTTTCCCATGGTCGTTCTCGCTTTAAAAAGTTCCGTCCTGGTTTTGTGGGGAAGCAATTCGGTCTTGCACCCACTAAACTGAATACCAGGACGTAATATAGACATCCTCGGGTGAACATTATAATGCACAAACCTGGGCTGTTCTCAGATCCCACATATTTGGTGGGTTGAATGGAAATCCCCACTAAACACTAAAAGGCAAAAACCAAAGGGGATGGCTGGGAACCACCAAGAAACCTGCCAGTGAATGGAAGGAACCCAAGGCCATTCCAAAGGTGATTCCTTGAAGCAGGGAGTAAGTCACAGTCCCATGGTTAGATGGCATCGTCTCGGGCTTCCGTTGGTCCACCCTCAACAGGAGCGGACTCCGCAAAGCTTGCGAGCGCAAGTGCATGAGCTCAATTGGGCTGCACTGCGTGAAGCGAGTAATGATCGCCATCTGGGGCAAATCTAATGTGTAGCAGTCCAGTCTCGGTCACCAATGTGCCATGAAAAAAATCAGAAGCTGAATACTGTAAATCATCGTGACTCCCCTTAGCAAAGTGGAGGTCTGACTCACGATCCCTTTGCCGTGGCAACTGTCAGTGTGAGGTGCTTGGTTTGCCATTGCGCTTGAAGCTTCCGCTTGAGGTGAGGTTCAAACACCACACATTTGCCCAGTCATGACAACGCCTAAAGCCCAGCTCCACTTCCTGAGTGGATTCGCAAACCAAAATGTGTACGTCCCACTAATGAAGTTGATCGCCGCAAAAAGACATAACGTCACCGAGGAGCCAAACAATGAGGCCATCCTCCTCCTAAAATGTCAGAACAGTACAGTCCTACGAACAACAACATCTTGTGCAAATGGGTCTTGTAGGGCAAGTCCCGGATGGCGCACATCCCACTCAGTCCTGATGCTCGCTATCCTGCATGAAGGGTATGATGATGCGGACGCACATGATGGCAGAAACCTCACGTTCACACGCCCGGGGACAGAACCTTACTTCTGCAACCGCATGGACCCGATATTGACAAGTGGTGGCAGTGGAAAGCACGTCCTACAGCAAGATCACACGCAGGTTCTCCCCACAAGAAACTACAAGCAATGACATCCTGATTATTGCTCCAAAATACGTCAGCCCTTGCCGAATAATGGAAATGAACATCAAATGAATTGTGGAGTTGGCACTGGATGTGATTGGCCTTGTCCCTTTAAACCACCGCGCAATCAGGGCATTTCCGAACATTGCAGACCCCCTTTTTCCCTGAGAGATTTTGGCTTGTTTGCCAGCAACCACCTCACAAGGGCTTCCCCATGGTAGGAAGCACCACAAGTGAAGCTTTGGCGTGACTTGAGCAACTCAATCAAGAGCCTTCTCCTCCGTGAGCTCTTTTCCGGCTCTGTTTGCATTTGGCAACACAAATAGGTTGATGGGCTGTGAAATCCTGATTCGAGATCCCTTGTTCTACCCCCCTTTTTGGAGACGACAACTGTGTGTGTGTGTTGTTCTTGGCGCACATAGACTTCACAATGGTAGTGAAGGTTTTCGCTGGCTGCGCCTACCTTATCGTGGCTGAATATGTTTTCAGGGTGTCTTTAAAGCCTGCGGATCCACAAGCAACCAGTATATCGGTATATGCTGTGAGTCACAGCGTGGAATATAAGCAGCCCATGTCCAACGTTCAGCATCTCTAGGGTGGCGCGTTAAGATAGGCCTCGTCAGGTGTTCTAGTGCGAACATGAAGAGCGATTCAAGTTGAGCGATGCTTCAAATATTGGGGACCCCTTTTTGAGTCTGGATGCCATCGTTCACGGCTTGAAAAACGGTCGGAATGCATGCCTTCAGTGAGTTCAAGTCAAATGCAGGCAGACTGCCCATCGGATACATTCTGGCGCGGAGGGGATCTGCACAAACTGCAAGTTCAAGAAGTTCTTTCCCGAGAAGTCTTCATTCCGGAGCATGTTGAAACCATATGCCGCCGAATATGGTGGGTAGAGATCCTATTCCCTATATATGGAAGGAAAACTTGAAAGAAGCCTATGCGAAAGCTATGAAAAAGGAGAAGATCGAGCGCGTCAAATCCCAGGGCCCTGGCATAAATCGCGGCCAGCATGAGCAAGGAGACGTTGCCTGACTCGCATCTGTCGCATGTGAATCAAACCTCACAAACCTGGAAACTAGCCAACCGAAGAGAGAAAACTTCATCATGGGTCATCCGATGCAACAAAAACGCAAGTGGTGGCACTACGTGTCAAACTTGGAGGACTTTGTGGCAAGGTATTTCTACAGGAACCCAGCAAACAACCATGTGCACCTGAAACTATCGACTAACCAAAGGCTGGTTTTGAGTAGCATCTAAATGTGGCCATCACAGTCAAGGCTGCTCGGTTCGACCAGTTCATCTCAATGTTGTTCATGGGCCTTCTAAGCTGGTCTGGAAGCTTGCTATGTGGCTAGTATCCTGATTACCCTCCAAGAGGTCCTTATCTCTGCCACCGATGAACACAGTTATGCTTTGACGAATGCCCTTCTGCATAAACACCCCCCTCGATACGCGGGACAAAGTGCGGGACAAAGTGCCGGACAAAGTGCGGGACAAACTGCTGGACAAACAATTGTCCGGAGGGTTGTCCGCGCACTTTGCCGAGATTTATGCTGCAAACCCCCCTCCTGCGAGAATACTTCCCTTCGAGTGGTTTCCGAGTGGTTTTGAGCGGCTTCCGAGTGGTTTCCGAGTGGTTTCCGAGTGGTTTCCGAGCGGTTTCCGAGTGGTTTCCAAGTGGTTTTGGCTGTCCGAAGACTTGTCCGGGGGTTTGTCCGGAGGTTTGTCCCGGGCTTTTGGGCCCTCAAAGCTGTCCGGAGAGTTGTCCGGGGGTTTGTCCGGGGAGTTGTCCCGCCGATTTGGTTGTCCGGGGGTTTGTCCGGGGGGTTGTCCGGGGTTTTAAGCCCGTTTGGACCCAAAATATGAAAACAGGTGTTTATGCAGAACCGCCTCTGTCAAGTTATGCTGGTGCTTCACCACTGATTCTCTCCCCAGAGGGCCAATGGGCCATTAATGGGCCAATGGGCCAATGGGCCAATGGGCCCATGTCCCTCTCTGCAAGACGAGGTCACGTATGGCAACCGCCGCCGCAGCAAAGCCAAAGGTGAGCACGTGGAAATCCTGGGATTCGCCCCACGCCCCTTGTATCTGCATTCGAAGCGAAAGTCCGTCGAATCGAAAACCGAGTTTCGAAGTGAAAGCTCGACGCCAAACAACCTAAAGAACATGAACAAGGCGGAAAGGGTAAGTATTGCGGGTGCATGATTTGGGATGAAACCCTATAAATACTGGTTGATAAACCACCAATCCCAACTGGTGAAGTGGATGAGGTTCATCCACAGTATCATCAAAGGAAGTTTAGAAGAAACTTCCGTGGTACGGAAACTAATTGAAGGATAGCTGATGATTAGAAAGAACCTTGTCTGAGCGCGCGATAAGATAGAGAATGCGCAAAAGCATCGCAGGGTGCAGGAAATCGCTGCTGCAGATGTCTGCCGCGGCGCCTGTTCGGGACGGTCTCGGAACGGTCTCGGACGGGGGCCCATTGGCACGGCCGCGCGGAGGTTTCGCAAGGACTGAATTTCGTGGCAGGCGCTGCACTTTGGCGAGCCGAGGTATATATTTCGTGGCAGGCGCAGCACTTTCGCAAGGCCAAGTACAGATTTCGTGGCAAGCGCGGCTTTTCCGCAGCGCTGGCACGGACGCATCGCAAATCCCATTGGCACGGGCGCGCAAGGTGGCGCATGCAGATTTCGCGACAGGCGCAGCACTTTTGCAAGGTCAGGTACAGATTTCGTGGCAGGCGCAACACTTTCGCATGGTCGAGTAACATTTCGTGGCAGGCGCAGCACTTTCGCAAGATCAAGTACAGATTTCGTGGCATGCGCAGTATTTCGTGACCGAAGGTACGATTCCACTCTTCCAGCTGCAGCTCCAAAATCCCAAAAATTAAGCACAAAAGTAGTATTCGAAGTACACTTTTCCAGCTGCAGCTCGAACATCTCAAAAGGACTTTCGCAAGGCTGGGCAGAGATTTCATGGCAGACGCGATACTTTCGCCAGGTCAAGCACAGATTTCGTGGCAGGCGCAGCACCTTCGCAAGGTCAGGTGCAAGTTTCGTGGCAGGCGCAGCACTTTCGCCAGGCTGGGTACAGATTTCGTGGCAGGTGCGATACTTTCAATTTCCTGGCAAGTTCCTGCAGTGGAAGCCGACGTGCTGCGGCGTGACTGGCAGCTGCAGGACTCCCAGCTGCACAGCCAAGGGTCCAAAAGGTTGACCCCGGACGTACTGGACATGACGCCCGTGTCTAAAGTAGCACGAGCTAGCTTCGCTAACGCGGCATAGCTGCCCCAGACATACCGCGTGCCGCGGAACTCACGCGTGTGCCGCGCACCCCAAGCAGTGAGAACTCAGTAGCGAGCATCAGATGCGAGAACTTCTTTCCGAGCGCGTGCCATTTCAGGCCGCGAGGCCCTGCAGCATTTGCTTGAAAAGAAGTGCGGCTGGGAGGTTCTGGGAGCAAATGTTCTTGACATGGCCTGTTCAAGGAGCAAGGAATGCAAATGCAAAAACTCCCATTTGTTTAGAAGCTTCCGCCTCCCAGCTTTGCCGGCTATACTGGTAGAGTGATACCTGCGCCAGACCATCACGCAACCTCCGCAACCTTCCTTGAGCCTTGCACCTGCCTGCCACCCGGTGAGCTTGTTGTAAACACAAACATATCCCACATCGGGTCACTAGCCGCAGATTTCTAGGCTGGGCCAGGTGTTAGCTCCGGATGAATTATGGGACCCTGACAAAAAAGCTTCATGGGTCAGATCGCACTCTGAATTGGTCCTAAGGTATTCACGACATTCCCAAGAAAGGTTCTTCCTTTATGGAGGCGGGAGGTTTCTTGGTGAGGAAATATAAAGGAACCAAAAGACCTCCTAACATTTCGTCATCGGGCAAGTTCATGGAAGAGTTTTGGCGATGACATAGATCGAGCCATCGCTCGCAAAAGAAATGAGAGCGACCGCAAAACACATTTTCGGGTGAAGGAATTTGGTGCGTACCTTGACATTGCAGTACAACATGACGAATAAAGTGGCAACCTTCTCCAGTTTCAAAAGCCTGCCTGCGCAGCGTTCCCCAACCTCGTATCGTATACTGAGAACAAGTCTTACGCCTAACCTTGACATTCCAAAACAAGCGGGACATGTCGGCAAGCAACAACATATGAGCACCAATATCTGTAAGAATGGTTCAGCATGTTCCCCATGCATTTGCAAACTGTTTCAGTACCTGGGCAAGAGCAGCCCGCAACCATGGCGCACAGTTTTCTTCTGATTCTATTTTGTTCCAAATGATGCGAAGTGGAGCATGTGAAAGGGGAATTGCGTTGAAACGACTTTCACTTCGGCTTATCTATCAACTTGAAACGGTGTTCCACCCAATGTTTACGCAATTGTGGAGAAGCAAAACAAGGTTAGCGTTGTGAACAAGTCAGCACATGTCCAGAGACTCCACGCTGCGGAGTGACTCCCATTATCTCGAATGAGGAAGCCTTCGCGGGAGGGAAGAGCGAGAATCCGAGAATCGAAAGGAACGGAATAAAATACAAATGATGCTATCAAAGGGTGAAACTGTTGGTTAATTGGTTTTGGTTGGTGCTGGTTGGTTGCTTGGTTGCTTGGTCGCGCTTGGTCAAACGACTCCCGCGAAACCTCCCAACCCAACTGAAAATCACGTACCACCACATCCCCGCTTAATGATATAGTGTATAAAAGACAGCCCCTTTCTGCATGTCCACTTTTGGTGGGACCCTCCCGCGCAACGTGCGCGTGCTTCTTCAAACATACTACCAAAAGGAAAAACCCTTGAAATTGGCCACAAGGTGGTGCTTAATGCTGCCGATCGCACATATGGCTTTCAATCAAGCTTGGATCAAGCTTCAGATGGCTTCAGCACTGATGACCCGGGGGCGACCAGCCGAGAAAACAGCGCGCCTGGGATGGCCAGGTGGGCAGCTCTTTGCTGGGCCGCGCGCGGCAACACGGACAACAAGATGCAAGAAGCACTCCTGCTGTGGTTCAGAGCCATATCAAGGGGGCGTAAGAAAAAACGAGCAGCGGCTATTAACAACGTCCGCTTGCCCTCCACGCGCGCCGTTTTGGTTCCGCTCTGTTCATTGTAGCCGGCGCAGTTTGGGCGGCTAGGCCGTGTCTTTGGAACGGCAGCTTCAACGATGGTCTGCTCAGACGCGTCGAAGAACGATGCGGGCCTGCCCTATGGAGAGTGATGGCTTCATGAGGCGCGGAAATATGCTCACTCAGAAAAAGCTTGAAGTGGCTGGCCGCGCGTGATCATATACGTGGCGTGGAGATATAAGGTTGCCTCCTCAAGAGCCATGTCTTACCCGTGTGAGTGTGCTTGAAACAATGTCCAAGCGGATCCGCGTAAGACAAAGCAATGGGACATCGCCAAATGCCTCAGGACCTTCATCATCAGCATCACTCTGGGCTCCTCCGAAAGCAAGGACTTAGTCGCGTGTTTTCGGACCGTTCTGTCTGGATGACTCACACCTCCTCACCAAATCGTGTGCTACACAGCATTACACGGCACTGTCACATGAGCCGTGTTTCTTGGTTACTTGGGCTTTCTTGTCGCGCTTACGCGGCTGCCTGCTCGCAACACATGCCTTCGCGAGCCTTCGCGGACCTGCCTCCCCCTTGAAGAACTGCCTTCGAGGAGATCAACTGGCGCCTGCGCGCTCGTTGTTTGTATAATGTTTGTATGTCTGTCTGTCTGTCTGTCTGTCTGTCTGTGTGTATGTATGTATGTATGATATATACACACATATATATATAATGATAAAATATATATATATACACATATATGTATAAATATATATGTGTGTGTGTGTGCGTGTGACTCAGTGTGCCTGTGTGTGTGTGTGACCGTTGTGGTGGACTATGCGCACCCCGAGCCTCAAAAAAAACATGTGTGCTATTACCACCGAAGCTGTGATTTTGTGTTTTTTTTTTGCCTTGGCAAGCGGGTCTTGGACGCAGCGGCCCGTCCAGATGGGGCACATTGTTCTAGAATGAATGGCTGCGCTTTTTGGTACAAAATAGTGATACCACCGTAACCCGCCCCTAGTGGCAAAAAACAAGTGGTGCCGAAAAATATTAAAACTCAGGGAACGAAACGCTAGTGAAAAACAAACAGTCAGAGGTTTAGACAACACACCTTGGCCAGCACCCATACATCCAACCGATCACGCGTGCTACGGCGCCCAAAGCAACCCAAAGCAGCTGTATCAATCCAAACGGCCAGCTCTGATATTCCTTTGCTTCGCGCTGGGCATCCACTAAGAAGTCATCCGTAGCCATCAACTTCCAGGAAGGAAGCGCGTGGATTTGCTGCAGAACGTTTGGTTTGCACTTTGGGAAGTTGAGCCTGCCAGCATCCCGGCTTGGCCTTATGTAGGCTTGGTCGCTCGCAGGCCTTTTTCTTAAGCCAGCTTTGGCCCTTCTTCGTCACATTCTTCTTCTGCCCAATGTCCTTTTTCTTCTTTCGAGAATCGCCCGTGACCTGCACCAACTGGTTAATGGACATCTGAGAAACAAAGCTCTGGCACAGCTCTTCTGTTCAGCTGGAAACTGCCCCTGTGCAAGAGAAGCCGTCGAGTGGCCAGACAGCAACAAACAAATGCAATCAGCATGGTGGCCTTGCGGGTGCCGGGTTTGGCAGCATCCCTACTTGACAAAGGAACGAACGACAGCTAGCCAGCAACCGAGCTAGCCAGCAACCGAGCTACCCAGGAGACAGCCGCGGCTTCGTGCAAATCTGCGATCCCTGAGAAAGCAGATCTCGTGCCACGAACGTTTGTGGGCCACGAATGGGGGTGCGTTTTTGACCGGTCGGCCACCCACCGCTTCATGTTCGAAGCAGAAGGCTTGGGGGGGTGAGCGGAGGCTTCGTCTGGAAATTACAGCCTCCCAAGCCGCCCGATGCCTGGCTGCGCCTCCAGAAAGGCTGAACGTCAACAGCTGCACAACAGGGGCCGAAACACGCGTTTAGCCCTGCGGATGATCATGGACATGCCGCGTGCATCAGGCTCAAAGGTTCGCCGTTTCCTTGGCCAGAAATCTATTGAACCATACGAGAGCACTGCGGCTGGGGCGACCAGTGCGACTGCACGTGTGAACGCCCAGAACAGGTCAAGCGCCAACACAGCTCTTGAACTGTAGCTTGAGAGGCCTGCTGCCTGCTGCAAGTTAGGCGTGCGACTGGGCCTTCTCCAAAAGCCCAGTCTTGCTGTTTCCATTTATAGCCTGATCTGCTTCGCATGTGCGATCGCCAGCTTGGGTCTTGTCAAGCACGACATCTTTGATTGTTCAAAGCTGGCCTGCGCAAACGCATCCAAGTCAACTCGGTTGACCCAAATCGATTGAGGCGTTGACTCTCTCCCAACACGCCATGAACAATCATGAATGGAAGGCGGCTCCACAGAAAATCGATACCCCGGAGAAGGCCGCCATGTGGACCCTGGCCCCATGGTGCCCCTTCCAACACGCCATGAACAATCCTGCCCAATTGGAGGCGACTCCACAAAAAATCCATACCTGGAAGAAGGCTCACTGACATGTGGACCCCCCTTTGCGGAGGAAAAAACAAAAAATCCAGGGAGCCACCCCCCCAGAGAGCTAAAGGGTAGTGATGAGAACGCCCTCAGAGATGGTTGGTGGAACAAAAATACGTTTACGTGACGTCCAAACAAATTTT